ATATCTGGAAGCAGCATACAACACAGTACTTCTGGTATACATCAGACTAAGTTGTAATGTTAGCAATGTGAAACAAACTAAAAGACTAAACAGGGTGAATATAATTGAGACTTGGCCTTGGACTTGTGCTACTGAGTTCTCCAGTGAGGTTAAATAAGCCCAATATTACTGATTTTCAATTGTTGTTAATCTGTCATTTCATGAAACCAGTTTTCGATTGTAAAATTTAGTTCTATCAACCAGTTTCTTTCATAGTGTTATATTTTCATGTCGTTATCATTATTACTTATAGATTATTCAGGCGATAAATTATACAGAGGAGGAGGGGAACGAGAGAAACATTGCATTAATAATCCTGATTATTATTGCTCAAGGCTTTATTGAAATATAGTATATTAAATTATGTTCTTTGTCAGTTGATTGTGTTTACTTCTTTTATTGCTGTTGCCTTTTCAGCCCTTGATTTTCCATCACTCTACTTCCATGTTCTACTTACTGTGTTGACTCACTTCCACTAATTAACTAAGACATCATAACTATCAATTTTTCTTTATTCTGTCCCTCTCTCTGAATATATATATATATATATATATATATATATATATATATATATATATATATATATAAATATATATATATATATGAGCTATGGAAGTAGTGCTTAAATTAGTCCCTAATCTGTAATCGAAGAATAACGAAAGCTATTCAGTGTTTGAAGAATTTTCAGAAACTAGTCTATTCGCTCAGATTCATTCCGGTGGTTACGACAGCAATATGCAAGGAAAGAGTAAACGAAAACTTACCAAGTTTCATTAGTGATAGCCAGACGATGGGAGCAAAAGGTAGGAAAAGAATATGTTCTAGGCAATAACTAAGATATTTTCGCCCATTGGAAGGAACAACGCAGAAGAAGCATTGGTTTGTGATACTATATTTGATGAACTTTCAAGACAGCAGGCTCTATCATTCAGTGCAGTCCCGCGTGGTCTAGCGTTTAGCATTCCTGGCTTTCACCCAGGCGGCCCTGGTTCGACTCCCGGCGCGGGAGGGATTTGTCATCCTGGAGAGGCTTAAGGATGCACTGGATTCAAAACTACGACCGGAACAGGCAGGCTGCAGGAAGTACAAATCATGTGCAGACCAAATTGCAACGCTTCGCATCATCATAGAACAGAGTATAGAATGGCAATCAGCTCTCTACCTCAACTTTACCGACTTTGAGAAGGCCTTTGACAGCGTCGACCGAGAAGTAATTTGGAAACTGCTTCACTACTACGGAGTACCGCAAACCTTTATCCGCCTCATTCAACAACTATATGAAGATGCCACATGCCAAGTAATTCAGAATGGGAAGCTCAGTGATGCTTTTGAAGTGAAGACAGGAGTGAAACAAGGTTGCCTACTATCCCCCATGATATTCCTGATTGTGGTGGACTGCAGCAAACAGTAGGCAGCGAGAAGAAGGTGATACGCTGGACTGCGGAAAAGAACCTGGCAGACTTGGATTTCGCCAATGACTTGTGCCTGATGTCACACAAACTTGAAGATGTACAGGCGAAAACTAACAAGTTGGCAGAAGAGGCAAGGCAGTGAAGGAAGACGGGACTTCAAGTGAATATAGAGAAGACAGAGGTGATGAAGATACCGCACCACCACCATCAACAACAACAAACTCCAGTCACCATCAACGGGAGAAACTTAAAGGAAGTAACCTCCTTCACCTATCTAGGAAGCACTGTCTCAACTACAGGCGGCACAGGCACAGACGAGGGTGTCAAAGTCAGAATCGGAAAAGCAAGACAGGCCTTCATTAGCCTGAAACCAGTGTGGAGATCTTCTGCACTCCACTCAGCATGCGGAACAAGATGCGGATTTTCAACACCAACTTCAGTCAAGTCAGTGCTTCTGTATGGTTGAGAGACTTGGCGCATTACGAAAGGGATTTCTAACAGACTACAGACATTCATCAACAACTGCCTACTCTGGCTCGATACTGAAGATCAGATGGCCAGAATAATGAGAATAAGCAATAAGGAGCTCTGGGAACGAACCAACCAAGAAGCTATCGCTGAACAAATATGCAGAAGAAAGTGGAAGTGGAGATGGATTGGATTGGGCATACACTGAGAAGGCCGACTGGGGACATCACGCGTCAGGCCAGTCGCTCGAGTGGAATCCCCAGGGGAAGCGACGAGTTGGACGTCCCAGCTGAGGGTGACATGGAGGAGATCGTGTGAGGAAGAAATGAGAGGTTGTGGGCTGTCGTGAAACCAGGTTGAAAAGATTTCAGAGAACAGAGTTCACTGGAGACGTGCTACTGAAGCCCTGTGTTCCATTAGGAACCCAAGGGACTAATAATATAATAATAATAATCATTCAGTGGAACGTAGGAATCACTTCAGCTAACGTAATTGGTAAAGCCATGCCCATAGTCAGTTTACTGCTGACTACAACTTAAGGTGATAGAAAACTCAGGAAGGTCAAACAAGTTTCACATCTAAATTAGAGTATTGACCTCGCATTTGTATATACTATCGTCCACGTATTTATATTATACTTACCACACAGAGCAATGGTATTATTTACTGAATAACGTTTCCAGTAAAACTTATTACTCCTAACTATATCAAGGTAATCACACAACATTCAGGTTCACTTTTATAGTTCTACAGCTTCTTGTTCTTCGATACCTCATACGTGTGCTACACAGTGATTCAACACTAATTTTCGATTTGCTGAAAGTTTTACTACCAATTAAATTGAAGGATAAAAAACAACAGTGCTATAAAAGTAAATCAGAATATATTGTACAATTACTTGGATATGATTACGATAAATAAGTTGTGCTGAAAAAATGAACAGTTAAGTAATACTGCCTTACCGTGTGATACATAGGATTAAAGAAATAAAGTGGAATTGCAGAAGTGAATTTCGATAAAACTCCTTAGTGCTTTGAATTTTCTTTGTTTTCTCAACCACTATTATTATTAGTATCATTATGTCTACTGTATTTCTGAGATTCATCTGAAAATCTTTTGCATATGAAACAGATTATTTAAAGTGGATCAGAATATTTGTGTACATTGGCATAAATTGCATAAGCCACTCACTCAGTAACAAGTTGGTTACCTTATGCATACTTCATCGTTTAATAAAGACCCTATTTTTTCGAAATGTTTTCTTTGTATTACCCTACACTACTTCATGTACCGTTCTGCATATTTTTATCGTTTCACTTTTCTTCTGTCGTTATTTTCCCTTCCGTTTTGTTCAGAAATTTGGCAACTTAAACGGGCGTATCACTGTATCAGCTTCTGTTTTTTGTTTAATTAATTATCTGTTGGTAATCTTACTTCAAATATAAAGCAGTTTAGTACAAAGATGTATAGACTAATGGGCTAGTCTATTAACTGTATGCATAGTATCAAAATTGTGGACACTGGCGTGACTAATTAAACGTGTGTGGAAGGGGTTTAGTCCTTTGGTTGACTTAAGCAGTTTGATTCATTCATATATGTTTCTAAAAGTGATTTACGACTTTTTTCAAACCATCCTCATACTTGTGTTTTGGTACCTCTTTAAAAAGAAGTTTGAGTCGACCTATGTAACACCATGCATGCAATCTAGTCAGTCCTGCTATAACTCCGTGATAGTCGAAGCCACCACACCTCACATCAAGGTGGAAAGCATCATGGGGAATTGTAAAGAAATAGGTATAATAGTAATAGAAAGTCACAAGAAGAGAGGAAGATGGGGCAGAATAATGGTGACACTACACTCACACTGAAGATGATATAGAAATGTATCTATATCACTGGGATGTATCTTGAACCATTTCACTTAGAGTTTTCAGTCGTCGATTTCGGTCGTCACACGAACTCCAATTTAAACATTTACGTTTCTCTACGCAGTTCGGATCAACAGTCAAAGATTTCATGGACTGGTCCCATACTTTCGTTTGGCCGCCTTTGACGTTTTTCCAGTCTGAACCTACTTCAGCTATCATTGAGTGATGAGGCAAACGGTAACTATGTATGCTTAGCGCATCCCAGCTATCTGGGGGTGATAAAGGTAAACAACCTCATCAACTGACCTACCTCTTTTACGTAAAAATGTGCACCTGTCTACCTTGTACGTAACTAAGGTCAATTCCACTTATGGATTTAAATTTACTTGTGTATTTGATTTTTGCGTATATTTCACCAACAATGTTCATTCCGAAGTGCTTTCTATTCGAAAGCACCAAACATTTAGTTCTCTACTCTATGACTGTGACTTGAATAAGTTCTGTCAAGCAAGTATTCCCAGTGTTTTCAGTTTCGTATTATTTTTTTTTCAAATATATTCATATTTGGATTTGCTACTCTTAGTTCACCTGGTGAGGAGCATTCGATTGTAGCAGCTGAATTCTCTTCAAGGTGCTGATAGGCTTGTCTTTGGCAAATATATGGTATGACGCAGGTTATTGCCGGTTATGAATAGTGGTATTTACTGTCATATTCTGTTTGTTCATTCACTTCCACCGTGATCAGTATTTTTATTGCACTTTGGGTTGATTTCACACTTAAACTTACTCAAGATGGAAAAACATCGAAATTGGGTGCTAAACAATAATGTTATCTTGAAATCAGACCACTCAGCAGTACACATTTTCAGTGCATCATTGGTGGTTGAGCGCGATACCTTCATGTCAACACATTCCTAGTTGTCAATTAGGCTGAGAGTATAAGACCCACATTTTCTGTCAGTCGGTGACTGTAATTGATCACTTTCTAATGTAATTTGTGAGCATCCGTTCTGACTACTGACTTGATTGCATTTTTAGAAGATGGTCTGAAGTGGGACTAAAGATATGTCCATTTGTTCATTTTTTTGAAATCACTGTTTCTTATATGCCAGTCGACTGAATAAATATTATTTACTAAGGATTATTGATGGTGAATTATTTTAAATACGTTCTCTATATCCTTTTCAATGGTCTGAACTTTCTTGCTTTTTAGGTAAACGTGGATGTTGCTGAAATCCAAGAAACAAGGTTAGTTTATTATTGCCAAAGGTTTCGGTCTGCATGCTTAATAAATTTGCAGGTTGATTTTTTCGTTCCAATCTTAAGCATTATCAATGACTTATAGAACTGAGGCTGCAGCATAATTCTTCTATGTTTTCCTTTGTTCGAATGTTTTGTATAACATTTCAAACCTGCGTCTTCAGAATTCGCAATCAACGAGGATTTTTCCATAAAGAATATATTTTGCTGAAGCTATTCCTTCATATTTTAATTTCTGTAAAAGCAATCTTACCAGTGACGATCATTCTTTACAGGGAATTTCTTTGTGACTTCAACAAATGACTGGTGGTTTTAAATTTCTGTTAGTTTTTAAGTTTTCATTTTGTAGAAAGACAGTTAAATTGTCGTATTACACGTTGTTATATTGACGCTTTCAATTAGTTCGCAATGCCTAAGTGATTTGTTTGCATTATGTCTGTTATCTACTTTAGAGAGGTTGATTTTATTTAATGACCTCCTGAGCTGTTGCCTTGATGTTGCCTGTCGCATCACTTTGGTGATAATAATGGGTATCGGTCCGATCAACGACGGGATTAATACAAAGCACAACATAAAACTATGTTTGTTGGACAAGAAGTGGCTGTCTTGACTCGGTGGCCTGGTGGATAACGCTGTGGCATTTGAAGCGACCGGCCTCGGGTTTTGGGTCTTAGTGGGAGCAACACTACTCACTGGAAGTCAGGTACACCCAGCTGATTAGTTACAAATAGGACGAAATGCGTGTTTTGGGTTTCACTACTAGCCACTTTCCATCATTACTACCATATTACATGTGTGGTAAAGATTCCATGTTATATGTACTTGTCTTTCTGGTATTGCTGATGTTCTTTAGTGCATACTGGTTTCTGCCTTAAAGTATACCATGTATTTTTCTGTTACTTCTTTTTTTATTTGACTGTCTGAGATAGCCGTAGTTTGTCAGACTAGCATTTATACTCAGTGATGATTGAAGGTGAAATGAAAATTTTGACCGCGGCCGGGTTCGAACCAGCTATCACCGGGTTTCCGGCCTGATGCTCTAGCAACTGAGCTGCGAGGTCCGACTGTTGGATAGATTTTTATTTCACTTCTTTTTTCATTAATTATGAGATGAAAGCTTACAATGCAGTCCAGTTGCTTTTCATAATGCATTATTCACCTTTTTAATAGAGGGGCTTTTATATTCCTTGTCAGTTTTTCAAAACTTTTACCACTGTTAATACTAGTTTATTAGACTTGATTGATGGTGTTTTCTACCTATTTTCTGAATTTTACTGCTTGGTTTCCAGAAACGTTCATAGTATTTTATATGATTTGTCAGGATTCATAGTTCCTCTCTAATTTCTGTTAATTACCTTTAGACTTTTTCTCCATGCACCGTGGTCTGTCGAACACTGCTCGCACTATCCAACCTTAATTCTTTGAGTGCTACAAAGTTTTTAATTTTCTACACCTATTGCTTCTTAGTCATTTAACTTTGTAGCTCTGTTAGTCACCTCTCAGACAAGCATATAAGCTGTTAGATATAATGTGACCTCATTGTTTTTCTTATCTTTTTTTCTGATTAGTTTATGAAGTTTCGATCTGGGTGTGAATAGTGCGTGTGTATGTGTCTTCATGAGGATGCTATTAGGAATAATTTGTTTCACTTTATGATTGACACTTCATTTGCTTACGGGTGTATGCTCAAATGAGAAATGCCAATCAAATTTAGGTGTATACACTCCTATCAAACTGTTTCATCTTTTACTTATTGTTTTGTTCGTTGTATTTATTATCTCAAGCGATCATTAACTATTGCTATTATTATTATGCTCTTATTGTTTGAATCATTTTCATCACACTAAAATCACAGTAATTCTTCTATTTTTTATACGTTCATAGCATTGCTAGTTGCGTTTCATGACCTGGTTTATTAGCAGGATGTAGGTTGGCTTTGATTACATTTGGTAATTTCTGGTAGTGAAGTTTTGGATGCGGATTTTAGCTGCATTTACATGATTAGCTGGTGTGTTTCTCTTGAACGTTGAGTCAAGTACTCATAAATCCAAGCTCTAGAATTTTTCAGAATAGCGGTAAATAATATTCTCTACTCATTCTTTCCTATCTTGAACATGGTGAAGAGGAAATTATCAAAGATGAACTTTGAGAAGACCTAATGGCCCTATTTTTAACTGTCACCGAAAATGTTTGGGATAGATAAATAACAGGACATCTCTTGACTTTTTTTCCGTAATTTTACTTAAAGTTCTACTGTGCGTGCGTTGTGTACTAAAAGATTCATTCCATTCTGTATCATACCGGTTATATTTTTTATTTTTAACTTTTTTTGGAGGTGGGAGAAAAATCCCATCTAGTTATTAAGACTATGTACTTTGTGTTCATGGGATCTAACGTCTTTTACATCACCGACTCTGCACACAACTTTCTGCAGTTACAAAAATATTTTTACATTTCATAGTCATTTGTAGTCTTTATTTCATGTTTACACTTATCTTTCTTTACTGATGTGTATTCTACTCTTGTCTTGTTTTCTTATTTTGATTTACTGTTCGTCGCAGATAATACGAACTTGTATCAAACTTATTCTTCTTTTTCGTGCCATAAAATTGAGGATTCTTTACGTTAGTATTGACTTTATTTGGAGAGCTAGACTTCATAGATTGCGTGAAATCAAGTCGAAAAACTCAACTATGATTTTTGTCGATACTGTATCATGCGTTAATAGTCCTTAAGAATCATCCTTTAACCAGATAGGGATTATGGATTCTGATGGCCTGTTTGAAATTTTGGCTACCTTGCTTTACCATGGAATATATATTGTATCAAGTTTCTCCTTTCTACACTGTTTTAATCATTCAATTATGTCCTCTTATCCCATTATATACTGTCGCCCATTTTTAAAACCATCTCAACCTATCACTCTACTAGTTGATAGACAAATTATGAAGGAGCACCATGGTGGGTAACAGCGAGCTCTCAAGCGTATGAACATAGATCAAATGACTATCCCGAAAATACTTAACACAAAATGCAGGTCTTTACCGAAAAAAGTTGATTATCTTCAGTCATACTTCTCCACAAATATTTATCGTAATACGGGTGTAATAACACTTCAAGAAACATGGCTTCATAATCTGTATGATGATGATGATGACTGAATTTATCTAAATAGTTTCAAGTTATTACGATAAGACCGATGTATTCCGAAAAAGAAGTGTGGTAGGTGTGCAGTTACTTTTATCAGTACAAATTGGTCCACCTCCATATATGTGTGCTTTAGGTTCTACAATGACAAAATTGACTGCTGTACCATCAATTGTTGGCCTAAAGATTGGAGTAAGTTCAATCACACATACGTAACATCTGACTGCAGTTTATCAGATTTATCAACTTTTGTTAATGACTTTACTGAATTCCCCACTCCACTTCTAGCTAACTTGTTGTTTATATTCTAGAGATTTTAACCCATGTGACTGCAGTTTTTTATGTCATTGGATCATGAAAGTATGCTTAACTCTTCTACTCGTCTCGATAACACACTAGATTTAGTATTAACAAATGACTGACATATACGTAGCTTGTAAACGACCTCCGCTGCTGAATTATGACCACTGTATCGTATGGGTTTTACCCAAGAGAATGGTAAGTTACATAAGAAGGCATTTGAATGTCTTTCCAAGAAAGTCCACTACTATTCATAGTAGAATATAATATCTTTGAGAAACATGCTTAAAGAAACTGACGAATATATTTGTTGTTGAAGTTTTAAATAACGCTGTCACCAATATCACATCCTACCTCAGGTTCTGTCTCGATATATGCTGCCATGCTGAAACAATCTTCATGAGATTTGACAAACGTTTCTCTCCTCATCTCAAGAGCCTCTGGAGCGAAACAACACGTCGTATAAGTTGAGGGATCACCACCGTTGAAAGACCTATCTGTCTAATTAAGTTTGAAATCCAACGTCTAACTACTATCTACAACCAGAAGTCTCTGTTGTGTAGGAACTCTTCCAATGTACGGAAATTACTCAACGAAATTACTGTTGGAAAATAGATAAATCGGGAAGTCTGTTCTGATATCTGCGCATTCAATCAGTCATCTATGAGTCAGGAAACGGATTTCATCGTTCCTAGTGTCCATAGCCAAATAGATAGTTGCTTTCTTGGCTTTAATGCAAGAGATGTTTTTACATATCTCAAATCCTTGAATCCATCCCAAAGCCTGAGTCTTGATGGTATTTCAAGTATTATATTTAAAAAATATGCAGATATTTTATTTCATGCTCTTACATATCTTTTATGTGCTGTTTTTCAAAAATGTAATACCTCCCGCTTGGAAGGAGATTTAAGTTGCACCTGTGTCTAAGTTATTTTCTTGATCAAATGTCAAGCTTCGACTTCCCCTTCTATGAAGACAAAGGCCGAATTACTTCTAATTATGCCTGAACCTTCATTGAAGGCTTCCAGAGGTCTGAAACAGTTTATTTACAGGCATATTATGAGTACTTTACTATCTCGCAACATGATATTGTTTCTAGCCTGGACAATGGGGCTAAGTGTGTTCGCTGTGCCTTCTTAGATTACAAGTCTGCCTTTGATCCTGTTCCTAGACCACTTTCTTTAAATAAGCTTGGCAAGCCGATACTGAGCTTTGGGTCACAAAGTGGCTGCATTCTCATTTTTCTGAAGGGAAACAGTTTACTGTTTATGCGGGGAACAGCTCCACTTCGTCGCTTACTGAAATTGACCAGTGGTCTTTCTCAAATGGTCTTAAGGTAAACCCTTCTAAATGTCAAACCGTTAGTTTTGGCCTCAGGCGTAAACAAGGTATACGGGAGCTGCTTAGGTTCTATAACTCCTGTTACATTGCTGTAGAGAATAAATCATGTGTTAACTGTCATGGATTGGGTTTTTCTCTCAATGTTTGTTGATCGTCTCATATCTTTTTGTCTTCAAGAAAAGTTTTTCGCTTAACGTATCGTATAGGAAAGCTGAAACCCTCAAGTATAACTCAGTCTCTACTCTTAAAATTTATTAATTCCCGTATTTTACCCACTCTTTACTGTTCTCCGTTGATCTTTCCTGGTCTACTAAAACAGGACTATTTTTTGCATAGGGATTCGAAAGCTGTCAGTGGGGTAAGTACTGTGCCTTTGGCACAACTAATTAACACTGTAGTTGACAGATATTTAAATTCTACCAGGTAACTAGCTACAGTTAGTTTAACTGACACTTATCATCCACTTCATTCACAGCTCTCTCCTAGTATCTTCTCAGGGATAACAAAAAGAAATTGCATCAGACTGTACGCTAGTACGACTTAATACAAAAATTCAAATGTGCCTGACTTAGCACGCATCTTATGTGGAAAAAAAGTGTTAGAACCGAACTCATTTATAAATTTTATCACAATGAAAATCCAGTCTTTTCAACAATCTAACCAGTAATGTAATGATTTTCCTCGTTATTATCGTTCACACAATTTAAATTGTTATATTTACACGATACGAAATGTTGTTAAGGTATATATATATGGCAGTATTACAAGCTGGAAATTGAAAATTGTTCCAAAAATTGTTTGGAATAAGTGATTATTATAGCTTGAAAATGTACATCACTGAAAGGTTTTGAGTTTTAAAATAAGCTATTTTCTTTAATGATATTTGCTTTTGACCATTACCTTTGAATTAATTTTCATGGTCCTGCCGTTATAATGTTACACAATTCTTGAACATTCACGTTGATGGTAAAGGTGAACTGTTTCCCTTCTATGCAATCCTTACAATGTTAAAAAAATGCAGCTTTATCAGTTATTTAGCATTAATTGAATATTAGACTAAGGTTACATTTTTTTTTGTTATTTCGATACAGACAAAACTATGTGTAAGGAAATCGTTGCCTGCCTTTCAATTAATCAGTGAAGTCCAAGTATGCTTCTTAAATAGGAGACTGATTACTTCACTTCCAAAGCATATAATTTCCACGTTTTTCAACTAATTACCTTAATGTCTTCAACCTCATGATATCTGATTTATGGCTACAGAGCTAGCTTTCTGTTAGTATTTGTTCTGTTGTTCATATTATCAGTATTCATTAAATGTAGTCGACTCTATGTTAAAAAGTAGGAGATTTCGTAATGTTAGATAGAATGTTTTATTAACTAAATAACTCACGTGAGTTGTGCGAAATTTCACTGTAGTGATCTAATACTTTCCTGTCCTTTTTGGTTTTTATTATATCGTATATGAAAGATGAAACAATTAACTGCTAGGAGGCAAATCAGTTTAAAAATAAGTACGATCATCCTCGATTGGTGGTCTGTTCTTTTATGTACTGGTTGGGCTTATTCATCGGAATAGCCTATTCAAACTTCATCGATTGTAGTGGTTTATTGTGAAGTTTGATTTTTTTCGGGTGTTTCGGTTAGAGAGTGGTAAAGTTTACGGTGTTTGTCTTCATACTCTAAATGATTTAGAAAGTGATGGGAGTCTGAGGGTGAAGTTCTGGTGTTGATTGAGCTCAGATGTGGTTGCGGTCAGGGGTTTTCATTCAGTGAACATTATTGACAACCATGCACCTAACTTCTACACGGCGTGATTAAATAGTGTTGGGTTCGTGGCCCTGGCTCGCGAAAACTGGGGATGTTTTTTGTGTGGGAATTAAGGTTCGAACCTACTTGCATAGGATAATGAACCTCCTCGTGGCCCTGTTGCTATCAACCAATGCACTAACAAGTTGAACTCATGAAAACTGCAGTCGACAAGATCCATATGCGCACTATCAGTAGCACCGGTCTCCAAATCATGAAAGGTTTTGTAGGCCGCCTGGTGTGCTGGGAGAACAGGTAAAGTGAGTCCAGCCTCCTAATTACGGCTGTCGTTATCGTTGAAGCAATCTCCAGAGATGGGTGTAGTCTTACCTTGCAAAGGCGAACGATATTCAGCCAGACATGCTGGTGTTCTTAGCCCTAACTTTCGCTGTATTTCAGTAACCCGAAGGGAGCCACCGCTGCAAATCTGTCGGCATTATGGTTCCACGGGCCAGGTCTCATAGAGTGGTGTCTTTCTAGGAAGCTCAGAAAGGTTGTACAGACTTCAGTGAGACGCATACCTCGTACTTCTGCCTACGAAGAAGTCGACAAACCGATTACTTGGTGAATATGGGTGCACTGAAGCCTAACAGTAGAGAGGGTTCTGGGATAACACTGGTCAGTTTGAGGGGACGTTAACAGACTCATCATAGGTAATGTGGTCTAAAAAATGCTAACTGACTACAGTCACACTGTTCAGCACTCTTTTAACACAATCTGTGCTTGTTATTTCATTGTTGTATCCTGGAATAGATGTGCTCTGAGAAATAGATCGCTACATGGGATCGTATTTTCAGCGTCAATGTCATCCTAAATTGTTATATAAGACAATGGAGAATATATTAAATTTCCCTTTCTGCTTCGTCTAATTAGTTGCTGACTGTCAGTTTATATTCTATTTAGAAATGGCATTCGAATGTCATTAAACATACAAAGTTGGCATACATAGTAAGCAATAATATTAGAGTAGAAATCGCATCTGTCAATTCATTCACATTCTGTTTTCGAATCTTATCAGCTTAACTTGTGTACTATGAGAATCTGTCATTCAAGTTCTCAATTGTTCAAAAAATAATAACTAATAATAATATGGCTCTTCTCTCCATTGCCTTCATTTAGCTTTTTGAAAAGTGTGGATACTCGGTCATTTGTTTTTAAAGATTCATTTACGTGAAAACAAATGAGTAGTTTTATCTATTTTGAGTGATGGATTGATTGTGTCAGTGAGTAAAAATTGCTTACATACCGTCTCTCCCTCCATCTGTATTCTCCTTACCATCCAACTCTTGTCTCAAAGCATTGCATGCGCTACGTAGTGGAGTTGAACAGGAGAGTTCTATCTACCTCTTTTATAAAAATGTTTCTATTGTGTTCATGGATCATTTAATTTTAATTTTATCTTTGTTTCCTCTGCTTTGACTTACGTGCTTTATTTCTCATTTAAATCTGCTTTGTTTCGTTCTTTTGTGTACTTGCCTCAGTTTTTATTTTCTGCGATTGGTGTTTTCTTCACTTTATTGATTTCAAAGACTTATGTAATGATGTGCTTTGTAAAACCTTAAAAGTAAACATTCATTCGTTGGTTCCGAACCTAAGGAATTGTATTATAGAAGAGGTCACCTGTGTCAGAAAGCTTTTCTAACTACTCACTTGTATGGTGTAGTTTCTATCGTCATCACATTTGTTCAAATGAATGAAATGAAGTATCGACCAAGTCAACCAAGGATTGATTCCAGTCGAAATTGAATCCAGTACAGTTCACCAGCCTATTCCAGTAAATATATTTCGCATGGTTTGATAATTATCACTCCACATTTCAGGTTATGTCGTACTAAGGATAATGGATTTTATTGACCCTTCTTCATTTGCCTATTTTAGGTTGATCAATAAATCTATTCACTAAATATCAAAACTTCAAGCAGTAGATGGATTAGAGACTTGATCAAAAAAATATCTTGACATAGTCAAACCTATCTGATGCAGGTGGATGGATTTCACGTTATAACTTTTGACAAGGGCCTATAGGGTTACCTAAGACTCTATAATTGTGTGTTGACTCATTGAGTGAGAGGAGGGTTGGTTATTGAGCCATGTCAACGAACACTGCTAATGTCAACCTGCACACAGCATTTATGTTATAATGAAAGCTGTAACATGATAGAATGGATGTAAAACACCTCTCAGACACTACTGGCATACCAATATTGGTAATGGGAATTAGATGAAGATAACCTCAAGTATCACACACTTGTATGCATTTCTCATGTTTACTATTTTGAATTCCCAGGAAATATTTAAATTCTGCAAAGAAAAGTTCATTTGCATTCTGAATTTTCATTTATGCTGGTTATTTGATTGACTATTTGTTGTATTACTTTTTCAAGTATCTCAGAAGACATAACATTTTGTAATATAATCATTGGATAACTTCTATATCCTACAAATCGACAGCACTTAAGCCTATTCTCCTTACTTGTGTTCATATCATTCTAGAAGTCTGAAACAATGAATTTGTAACTGCTTTGATAGTGACTAGGTCAGATTAAAGCTGTACACATGAAGTCACTTGAATGCCACTAAAGGGTTCTTATGCTATTTCTGTCCCACTTTCATGTACCTTCACTGCTCAAATGCAAGGCTTTCGATTCTCCTTTGACCACTTCAAAGAATTTCACTGTTCAATTGTTTGTTGAAAATTAATTAAAGTGATAATTTTTGAAATATTTTGTTTACTATAATCATTTCGCCACACGAAAATAACTAATTTGAACTGTAAATTTATCACTTTTTTCCGTGATACTTAGTACTAAACGATTTAAAATATCATTTTTTTTCTTTGTTAGCACTTTTGTAGGACTTAATAGGAGGAGTTTATTCTAATATTTTCATATGTATTTCAAATATACTCATAGTAAGCAGCTTAATTTACGTTATTTAAGTGAGTACGTTCATTCTTCGATTTGTATAGATGTTATTAAACTAGTTGAATGTTTTCTTTCATTTTTGAAAAGTTCACTTTTGAGTTGACTTCTCCATATTTATACCTTACTCATCGTTTACTGTATATACATTATACTTTTTATTTTTTTTAGGGTAAAACATGTGTGGCCATTGTTACTTCCAGGGCATACTACTGTTTTGGACGATAGTTTAGGTCTTGCTCTTTGGTTCGCTGCTCGCGGACAAGGCGTGTTGCATACTCTAAATGGTTTAGATGAACAATATACTTCATCAGCTAAGGTATGTTAATTCTTTTACTTCAACAAAATGCAGAGTTAGTTTTATTGATTAGCTAACTTTATCGTAAAATATTTTGATTTCTGTAGTTTGATGATCAGATACAGGTTTCCGTGGTAGAATGTGACAAATTTTCCTAAAATTCATTGATTGATAGAAGTATCTTTTAAGCTCAGTTTTCGGTTTCATTTATTTCAAAATAATGGTTGCAAGTTCTTACTCTCGGTTAAACTGACAGTCATTTATATTTCGGCTTTTTTGATCTATCTTCACTGTTTGTTAGTAGTTAGATACATTCCACAAACGGGTCTTAGATTTACTTTTCTCTTTCATATCAGTAGTTTAAAAATCCCCATAAAGTCATAAAACAAAAGACGTATAGCCAAGAGTCAGCGCTATCATCGCTATCATTCTCAAGCTGTACAATCGCATGTAAATATTCTTAATATATATGCTGATATGTCTCGACTGAACTGTAAACTCATGAAAAGAGGCTTATTAGGGACCGTAGAAGTGGAATGATTATTTGCTTTCAGTTTCATAGTTCTAGCAATGAAACGCTCATGATACTAATTTTCAATCAAAGCATTTTTGGAAAAATTAAGTTCACCTTCTAAAGTATTATGACTGCAGATAGTGTGTATCCTATGGCACATAGAGCGAATTCGATTTTGTTTGGTGCATAGAGGTATCCAACTATGGAAATTCGTAAGTTGTCCGTTCTATGTGGGTTTTCTGTGGATATAAACCTTCCAAGCAATCCATTGTCTCGTCTTGTTAGCTGCATAACTGAAAAGGGTATCTTAGAATTAAGTTCCTTCTCTAATGTGAACCTAATTAAAGGGTGGCAGTTATTAAATTGAGACACGATGTCTTCTAGATTATCCGTATTCTCATATCAATATGCATGTGATTGTTACAGCATTCATTGTTTTATTGGAAGGAGGACATTACCAGTATTTTCACTCACTTCATTGCTTTCACTTGATTATTTCCACGAATTATTTCAAGCATACCAAGTGACTATCATGTTATACTAAAACTGGATAAGCAAAGTGTAAATAACTGTTATAAGTATATTAAGGGTATAGAGAATAATGGGGGGATCGATGAAATACTGTTGAGTAAAGCTCTTGGGTAAGTCTAGTTAGAATAGATCTTAGTTGCGCAGATGTACACGCATATACGTTACCTTCATGCTAATCAACTTGTATCATTTCGCTACTGTTTCATTCCCTTCTCCTTTCCTTTCTACTATTTTCCATTACTTTCACGCTTATTTTCCCATCTTTCATCTGGCTGCCTTCCACTTTGACGTGATGATATGAGGTGTAACAGCTTGAACCATAATGCTGTGGTACCAAGTTTCACAATGATGCCGACTAAATGAATTAAGTTTTCTCCATCTCTGGCAGGGATATATGTTCTACAAACGTTTTCTGAACACAAAGACTGAGGCTGTTTTTCCTTATTTTCACAACATTAGCTCATATGAATCTCATGCGAAAGCGTAAAGAAATGCGATAAACTACTTGGAATCCTGTGAAGCTATCTATTTTGCGACCACTATCGACCTAACGCCAAAAAATAACTTTACTTGCCCCTTCCCTAACGAACTACATCTATGCTAAGCTGTCGATTAGTACACTAGGCATATCTTTCCCCACAGAAGTAACTGTATTATTTAACACTCATTAAAGTCGTGAATTGGGTAATTTGTCTTTTGTCTGAGTATTACGCTCAGCGGATTTAAAAACCACCTCAAACTTTAGTACCATATACTGTTTTGGTAGATTTTGACACTTTCTTGTGCAGAACTTCAATAAGTGCATTTCTATTGATTTGAAGCTTCTGGTATCATAATTTGTTGTAAACTCACATGCTTAATTTTCTTGCTCGTTTTATGCAGCTATCTATGTCTGTAAAGCTATAAAAGTAGCACATGTCTATATATATTCTAGATTATTTCGTATCAAAACATCGGAGCAGATACTTCTGCCTTTAATTACGAAACTTTGAACTACTTCTCATACCATATGAAATGAATATTTATCCTTAGATGTGATCTTTATTTATAAAAGTCTTATTCAGTGAGCCATTATACCTCCTTATTAGTAGGACATTCAGAAAGTGTGACTTATTTTCACTTTTCTCATAAGCTATGCAAGTATCCTGTTGTGGCGGACGGTAAGATGAATCTGCTTCTCGTCTGGAAAATCTCTCAAACGACCATTGTTTCAAAGCCTTAGCCATGAAGTTCATATCTATCTGTACATACTATCTGTACATAGAAGTAAAGGTTAAAGCAAACGTTGTATGCATGTTACTTTCTGTGCAATTGAGTTGTGTTCGTACAACTTGCATTTTGTCATGCATCATGACTACACCACAGCCAAAGTGAATAATTATTTTTCGCATAGAATTCTGTCGAAGATACAAAATATAATTCAACAATATTAAAGGCATAGTTATTAACTCACTACTGATTTTGATTTCTGATCATGTTTTTATTTGATTTTATATCATGATACTTACTGATACCAAAGCCTGAGTGGAATTAACGGTGATCAACAAAATCTGACGGTGTATTATCACTATTCCAATTACCTTTTTAGCATGTAACACACACTGTAATTCTATATTTAGTGGACAATAATAAAGCGGATTATTTATTTATTTTTCACTCCTGTTTAGAAGAGAAGACAATAATGATTAATGCAAAGTTAATGCTTATTTTTTGCGTTATAAATTTTTCCCAGTTATCTGATAATTCAACGTGTGTAGTAATAAAAATGATAATGTTGCCATTATTATTATTATTATTATTATTATTATTATTATTATTACTATTAACAACAGCAGCAACAACAACAACGTTATTTCTAATTCCTGCGAATGCTCAACACTAAATAATTATCTATGTTCTGTTTCCGCGTGAATTAAAATCTTTCTATAATAAGAACAAAGTTTATTTTTAAGATGTGCATAATGTTAGAGGTTTACTGTTAATTGAGTTTTCAAAATATCACTTTGAGATTGTTTTTTTGAAGTATGGTGTAAATGACTCTTCTCTTACCAAGACTTATAGGAAGAAATTGTATGGATAGTATTGTAGTCAGTTCACATAGTTTTGTTGGATAACGTGAAGATGTATAAGCTTATTACGAAGAAATGAATAATAACTGCATCAAAGCATTTCTACAGTAGTCTGATTTTGAGAAATAATTTCTAATCTGATTGACATATTCTCTTCTCATGTTTACATGCACTGCTGAGATTAGACTATTGTACTCTTCAGATAATGGTGTTGATTAACAATAAAATATTGTTCATAAAATAAAATACACAGATTATAATGTAATTAATAGACATGAGATAAAGTTGATATAAAACCAAATTTAGAGTAAGTAAACATCATAGGATTCCTTTTCAGTCCCCCTAGGAATCTCATGGAACTTCAAGGTTGACTTCCATGTTATTATTATTTAGAAGGGTTTTGAAAAGTATAGACCACACCTTGTAGCAAAATCCTTTCATACAAAGTTGTCTCAGACTTGTCGAAATGGAGATAAGGGGACTAAATAAAATTTCACCTTGTTTTAATATGCTCTCATAAATCGTTATCATGAATACACATACGATGAGAATCGTAATCAAACTTAAAATTGTAATCCATACTGTTATGACGCCAAAGATGCTACATATGTTCATTATCCTCTTCAACTATATGATGATAAAAAAGTAATCATGCAAATGGGATTCAATTCAGTTTACAAATATAACCTATGCTATTGTAATTTTTGTAGATTAGTGTTTCAGAATTGAATTGAAGTGATTATGATTCTTGGTACCATTGTAACCATGTCAAAAGTTTATAAATAATAAAAAGATATTATATTTGACATTCATCCATCCTTCACTTTTTAAATTCGGGCATAACTGTACAACTAAAACTTTCAAATCAGTAGTTTTAGATTACTGGCTTCATTAAATAGGTATCGACATCTTTTGTCAAAATAACATCGAAATCAACTGAATTCACTGAGAAAAGACGAAGGTTTACAAAATCTGAACTTTGTATCAGCTTTCACTATGTAAACAAGTCTAAGTGACCAAGATAAGGTTGTCGTATGATAAAGTCTGTGCTCTTATCTTTTTACTTGAAAAGCTGAACAGTATTTTTATTCACCTGATTCCTAGTCATAACTGAATATCTGTAGGTCATTGTTAGTAAGTTTCCGACTGGTGAAAAGTTATATAGTATCCCACTGGTATCGCTTTACAACTGCTCCTTAACGAGTAATGTACTCAAGTCTTTGAAGTAGCCTCATCTCTGTAATTTCTTTGGTATTCTTTTACATTCTGTTAACTATGGTGCATTATTTTGCGATTAGTTTCTTCTCTCTTGAAGATAAAGTATCCGAACTTCCATTAGTGTATACTCAATCCTCAACTCATATACAGTAAAAATAATAGATGTACATACATATATATATATACATATCTGAGTCGTGTAATTAATGAAACTGTAAGGTTCATTCGAATTTGATCATCGACCCTATATAGAAAATACCCTCAAGATATGTTACTTAATTATAAGTTAAATTTTCTAATCTTGCCTCCTGTTTATCTCAGCACTGCTCATTTTTCATCTCAAAGTCAATTTATATTCTTCTCTAATTAAAAATTTATCGAAGTACCGTAAGTACTTTTCCTCTACACAGCTTTCACGAAGACCTAAAAGTAGACAGATGTTACTCGTAATAGAAAAACAAAACGAGGTTACAGTGAGGATAATTAACTATTTCAGTAATCATTTTCATAGCTGTTAATTCTTAAACGTATAGTGTAATATGATAGAATGTTCCAGACAGGTATTCGATCAAAAGTAAAAGCAAAGAAATAAAATGGTCATAAGAGCTTGATGATATTGACGAAAATGCATTAAGCATTAAGATTTAGTTCCATATTTGGATTTGTTTATTTGCTGTATAACACAGTGATATACTATTATTTACTTGATGACGAGGTTTCGAGCATAAACTCTTACCCACAATTATATCAACGTAATCACACAACCTGCAACATTCCCTTTTTATAGTCCTGTCACCTCATATTCTTTGCTTCTAGTGTTTGCAAAATATCCCATATCTCTGGTATAAGTGTTGCATCATTCCTGTTACATGTGTTGAGTAGTGATTCGATAAACAAAGATTCAGTAACGAATCTCCCTCTCCACCTAACTATGTGTGACATAAGTAGAGTGATTTTATCCTACCCTATTGTGTGGTTGTGTATTAATTCATGCATTGCAATAGCCGAGTTATTTTTCTAGATTATTGATCCTATTGGGGTCTATCATTGTATATTTGGCTAAATTCCTGTTTTCCGATAATCTAACTGACCTCGGTCGGCGAGTTTAATCTATGTCGTTGACATCAAACAGTCATTGCTCGGAATTTGATAGATTTGATTATGTTTGCTTATTTGGATCGATAGGATCTTGAAGCCGACAAAGGTAATAACTTAGTGAGTTTATAGGTTTAAATGCCACAACTGAGGCTTTAAACTGTTTTCTTTCCATGTTGTCGCTATTATTTGTGTTCAAATAACTTTTATGATTTTGTTTCTTATTCGTTCGTCAGAACTTCTGAATAACGATAGACGATAATTTTTAATTGATAACACTTTACTGTTTCAATTCCGTAGTTAAATCCTTGCACTGACTTATGGGTTTTCTTGCTCCGACATTTAGACGTCTAATTAAACCCGCCTTAACTGACACGGCTAGTGCTTCAGTAATAGACAAATAGCTTGATCCTACTCTTTTTGAGTGGTTTGAATGCGTCCGCTTGTAAACGTGTCCACAAACACTACGCAGCCTGGTCGGTAAAGAAAGAATGGAAATGTTCAATGATAAAGCACCTTATGAGCTCAGGCCATTTGTCTGCCTTTGAGAGCTCTTTCAAATCCTCCGCGGGGTTCGATCAAACCACTCAAAGAGAGTGAGATCAAGGCATCTGTCTATTGCTGAAGCACTGGCTATCCAGAAGTTCAAACCAGCGTTATGCATCCAAAAAATGTACGTCCAACTTTTGTCTTTGACATTCCCATCACAAAACCTTGACTGTCATAGATTCATCCAGTATTAGGTAACTATGCATACATTTCCATAATCCTTTGTCTATTTTCTTACTCTAAACTTAAATGTGTATTGATTAACTTCCTTTAGTTATTCAATATATTTTTCCACTAATCGGAAATAATTCCTGAACATTTTGCCCACTGTAACATTTAATCATGAATGTACAACTTTGTAACTGACTTCATCGAAGAAAAATTCCTTTTTCCCTGCAGTCACGTCTTGTCTTTTCATGTAGTTATTGTGGCGTTGCTTTTGCCTAAAACTGAATCCAAAACATTTGGGTGTACGACATAAAGAATTTTGACTTCATTTTGATAACTTTTATATCATTATACATTTATAATGAATCTAAGGCTATTTTTTTATTTTCATTTCATTTGTATAGTTCTTGTTTCTTGGTTCTGGAATAGATGAACAGTTAGCTGGTTATGCTCGTCACCTTACCACATACAAGTGAGTTATTTCATTTACTTTTAGTTGCGTATTTCATGAATTGTTCTTCTTTATGGATACTTCAGTTTTAGCTTAGTCATAGCTCTATGAATGGCTCACCATATCTTATGCTTCACCAGGAGTGGAATTCCAGTAAAGAAATCACGAGAAATACAAGTAAAATGAGAGTCAGATGCTTCTAATCATTTTAATGGAATGCAAAGAAATGTAAGTACGTTATTAAGTTGGATGGAAGCAATAGGCAGAAAGCCCAGGACGTAGGTTTTGTGCTTTTAGGCACTCGTCAGCAGGGTGTGTCTGCAACCTCGACGGAGCTGGTGTTTCGCCTGAGATTCGAATTCGCGTCACCCAGTGTTGTAGTCATAGACGTAACCATTGAACTATTCGGGCCACGATTAACCTCCTGTAGGACTTGGTTAGGCACAATAATTGATCATTGGAGGGTAACCAACTTCATTTTGTCTAGTCCTTTTTTTTGCTAGTTGAATTCCATGGGTCATTTTGTCAGCAAGTAAGTACATCTCTAACAGTCACATCCATTGTTAGTTGTGTGACCAAAATTATTCAGTCTTCGCTGTTTTTTCTAGAAAAACGTTAGGTGCTTTCACGTAGATAGTAGTAGTAATTGGATCTACAGAAGGTTGTTTGTTGTATAACCAAAATTGTTTATTCAAGGAAAATTAGGGTCATTGTGTATCTTTTAATATCCGAGTAGTGAACAGTTATGCGAAGTAGTTTTTACATTTAAAAGTTATCAAAAGTTTGATATACTATTCGTTTGAATCGAACGGAGTGAACATTTGACCTAATATTTAGTAGAAGCATCCTAATAAAAAAGTAGATTGATACCAACAGTGACTGAGCGTCTGGTAAAAAAAAAAGCCAGGTGAATGCTGTATTCCTCTAACATTATCTTTATCAATTTATTCAGTTGTGTACAGAATGGGAAACAATAAAAACTCGACACAAAACGATAAAAAAAAACTATAAACATATAAGGGTTCTAGAGAAAGAAGGAGAAAAAAACAAGCAAAGGGTAAACAGATTTTCGATAA